GGTCATTTTGTCGATAAGTCAATGAAATGAGGCTAGGAGGCACCCTAGGGTCATTTTTGTCGATAAGTCGATGAAGTGAGGCTTGGGGGCACCCTAGGGTCATTTTTGTCGATAAGTCGATGATATGAGGCTAGGGGTCACCCTAGGGTCATTTTGTCGATAAGTCGATGATATGAGGCTTGGGGTCACCCTAGGGTCATTTTTGTCGATAAATCGATGATATGAGGCTAGGGGTCACCCTAGGGTCATTTTGTCGATTCATCGATGAAATGAGGTTGGATAAAAGTGCACTCACATTCAACATCCCCAAATATCTTATATCAAATCCCTAAGCACATACACCAGATAACATCAAAGTGCACTCACATTCATAAAGGTTCCTCAAGGTTGGATCCAACACCTGATCTCACAAAATACATACATAAAGGTTCAGAAATAGATACTAAAGTACTTAATAGATGATTATCATCTAGATTACAACACTGCTGGATCCAACACCATAAATCACAAATTCATCACTGAAGTACTTGGGTCACAAATTCATACTAAAGTACTGGATATAAGATTATCATCTAGAAACTGATAGATGATTATCATACTAGAAGGCACCCTACTCATCTAAGATGGCCTTCACACCCTGAAGCTTCAACTTTATCTTTTCCTTAGACTTTTGAAGCTCAGAAATGTGATGCTGCAGTTTAAGCCTCTCTTCTGTCAGCCTCTCCTTCTCCTTCAAATGATTGAACTTCAAGTTCCTAATCACATTGGCTTGAGCACCTGCCAAGTTCTTCAGAGTTTCATAGTTTTGTAGCATCTTCTTCTTCTCCTCCTCTGTCTTTGAAAGCTGTGCCTTCAAGTTCCCCACTACAGTCTCAAGCTCAACAATCTTCACATCAACATATTCCTTCTGCTCCTTCTAATTCTTTAACTCCACACCCCTCTACTGCTGGGCATCCAAGAGGGAATTCACATCAGCATACAAACTGTCATAGTTCTCCTGTATTTTCTTCTTCTCCTCCTCTTTCTTTGGCAACTCTGCCTTCAAGTTGCCAACTACAGTTTCTAGCTCAGCAATCTTAACTTCAAGATATTGCTTCTGATCCTTTTGATTGGCTAACTCCACACCCCTCTGCTGCTGGGCATCCAAAAGAGCATTCACATCAGCATACAAACTGTCATAATTCTCCTGTAGTTTCTTCTTCTCTCCTGTCAGGTTGTGGATTGCAAATGAACTCTCTAGATTGTCATTGGTCCTAGCTGACTTAATCTCCTCATACATATCCCATAGCTTGGTCAATGCCTTCTCCATTGAGTCTGGACAATCCATTGAACTACTCCACAGTTTAGGCCTTCCTGTATTATAAACAATAAAAGAAATAATTAATTATGGTTCAGGTATCATCAAACCAACAGGTTCAGGTATCTAATATGTGCACTGTTAAACAGACAAATAAACAAGTCACTAAGCACTGACAGGTTCCTTACCATAAAGAACACAAATAAACAATGCCCACACAAGTAAACAAGTCATTAAGCACTGACCATAATAAACAAATACTACCATCCACTAATGAGAACACACTCCAACACAATGGCTAAAGCAAATTAAACAAAGACAAAGCACTTAACCAAGCTTAACAACTTGAGACACAAAGGAGTTAGCACTGACCAATATAAGCAATGTGTACATTCCACTAATGACAAGGTATGTCAGAATAAGCTAAACAAAGACCAAGCTAAAAAAATATTAACAGCTTGATAAACAAATCATTAAGAAAACAACTTCCTTTACACAGGATGTAAATCATACCTTCTTAGCACATCCAAGAAACCTCCTGCCCGTGTGCATCCCTTCAAATGCAACAAAGCGTTCGGTCGGCTCACACGTGTTCACACAAAACAATCACATCTGCGTCAGTGCCATTGAAATTCGGATCGTGCATCATAGCAGGAAGCTGCGGGAGCAAGCAAAGAGAAGGCTAGGTTCAGATCGAGCTCAGTGACAAAATCCCCATCTCACTAACCCTAACCCTAGCTCTAGCTATCAAACGAACTGACCTTGATGATGCCATCGTAGGAGGAGGAGATGTTCAGCACTGAATCCTCATTGGTCTCGTCGCTCCACGACACCATGGCACCGGGGAGCAGCAGAACGGCGGTCGGCGGTGTGGCGGCGCCGGGGGAGAAGAACAGAGTGAGAACAGAGTGAGGAGAGGGCGAGGCAGAGGAGAGAGTGTGAGGAGAGAGCTGGATCGATCCAGTTTTTACCCACACGGCGGAGCAGTAGCGGCAGTCACGCCGTTAGACGGCGTCAGCTGCCGGCCGTGACGCCACGTAGACGAAACAGGGCCCCACCTGTCATAATAGTGCTTAAAATGCCCCAATAGACGGTTAGGTGTTTTCTGCAAATGATTAGGCGTGAAATCAGTGTTTTCTGCAACAAAATCGTAGAAGAGTCTTTTCTGCAACCCTAGGCTTCAATGTGGTGGTTTTCTGCAATTCACTCCGAATGGAACTACCATTCTATAGATCGGAAGGACAGAGAAAAGGGGATTAGGGAGTAGTTTAAGGGATCTAGGAAAAGAAACCAGTACACAGCTTGCATCCCTCTTGTGTTCGCTCGTGCAACAGCCAACAGGTCCAACCGCGTGCGCTCGAGGTGGCTCGACCCAGCTGGGCTCGCAAAAAAGTACCGATTCTCCTGTTTCTCCAGAGGAGGTTCATGCGGGCCATGTTTTGGATGCAGCACAGTCAACCAAACGGGCCAGATTCGTCCCGCACGGGCCTGGTTGGGGTGGATGCAGGCAACCAAACGCATTGATAGTGTCCCGGGTGAAGACCACGTTCCTGTTGCATGATGTCCAGACACTATAGCCGTCAACACCAGAACACCTTCCCGACGGTATGCTCGTACTCGAAGCCCAATTGTGACAGCACGTAGCCGAGGATATCCTGCACAATAGTAACAAGTAATAAATGAGAGATTTCGGTCGCAGAATCAATTTACTTATCAATGCGCATGTGAGTGAATTATCCCCCCCCACCACCCCCCAATTCTGAATCTGAAAACAGAAATGAAGAGTAAAAGTGTGCATTGCTGGCCACCCACTCACATCAGGCAGATGGTGAAGCTGCAGAGTTTTCTTCATCATAATCATCTTCTTTCCCATATTCTTCCAGGAGAAAGCACCGATTTTGCAAATGTTGGCTTCGATGGGACAAAACTCCCCCTCCTTCCTCGCCCCACAAAGGAATTGATTTTGGAAATGCGGCTGCCAATCTACCAGGGCAATAAATCAAAACCAAATCCGCTCTCAGAACAGTGCGCATTGGAACGGATTGTCTCGAAAAGGAAGGGAAGGGTGGATTTGATTGCTCTGAATTTACAATGTCGGAAAACATTCTCATAGGGCTCCGACGGAGGGCTGCGCCGCACCACGGCACCGGAGTCGGTGGAGAGAACAGAGGCGAGGGGTTCAAGTTACCTCTGATCCGGCGAGCACCTGCCCAAATCACCCTGCCGCGGTTCTCCTCGTCGGCGATGATGATGCAACTTGCCCCTTCTCATCTGCCCTCCCAATCAAGATCCGACGGATGAGGATGTCCAAAGACCAAAACGGCCCCGCAATTACGTATGTAGGTACAGCTAGCAAAAATGCCAGTGCGTTGTTGCAACGAAAGAAAATAATCCTTCCATGTTTAGCTGGTGTGTCCGTGCGTTGCCATGTGAGCACGCTCACATACATGATGCTATCAAGATTCATCTTGACCAAAAACTAGATTATCCATTTGTTGAAGTATCATACTTGCACAATACATGCATTTGTCTACATAAAGAGATGTGTAGTTGAATGCCCATTCATTGCTATGGAGGAAAAAATCAACTGATTGCAACTTTCTCATTTGTCAATTAAACCTAGGCACCTTGAGGCCTCTGAACTCTCTTGTCACCCAAGCAACATAAATCTACTTTAGTCACGGCAAACGCGGGACAAGTCTCTGGTGAAAAACAAACTATAGATCAAAGTTACTTCGGGACACTACTTTGGCAAAGAGTATGTATTCCCATTCTTGACAACCTAAATGTTTCAATAGACCATAGCCCCTTAGATATTTCCATAAACATCATACATCAATATCAGGCCTAGCAATCTCAACCGTGGCATTGTCTGAATCTCAGTGCAAAAGTTCGGGACATGCATCCTACCTATTTCTGTTTCTTAGGTTCAGAACCATTTAAAGTAAATAAATGAGCATTCTTGTCATGGTTAGAAATTAGATCAGGTTAAATTAGCAATGAAGTGCAACAGACCAGACAAAATATGAGTTTATACACCCGCAAAATAAATTCTGAGTTTATACATCCGCTACAATCATTTTGATCTATATGCTAGAGTTACCTAAAAAAATATTAATAAGTGGAGTAGGCCTTATCAACATAAGCGGAGTAGGCCCGATCAACATTGAACAGCGGGTCGAGAGTTCGACTCCCAGATGGCCGAAAATCTGGTAAAACTCAGGATGGGTTAGGGAGAAGTCCGACTCACGTAAAACAACAGCAACCTATGAAAAATTTGACGGACGGACGAAATTTAGGTGGGAAGAAGCGTTAGCCGCGTTATTATTAAGGTAAAGATAATACACTTCCACATACCAAAATGTTGAATAGGTAGATAAATAACCGGCAGTGATGTCATATTTTTAAGCAAAGACAAATCAAACTGTTTGATGGCAAATTTAGTTTATGAGCATGTCAATTTCCTGGCAAAAAATAAATAAACTTGAGCCGGATTTAGCATCCTCAACAAACAAACTGCTAGGCTTTTTGCGCCTGCTACTGCTAGGCATTCCTAGAACAGTGATCGGTTGATCACTAGTCATATTAATTAAGAAGAGTTTATAAGGTTACACAGTGACAGATGAATAGTTAGGGACAATGTTTGTATCCTCACGGCAACAAATATCTCAAATGTTTAGTGCTCGCCAGAGCTAAAGATTGGCCTCGGCCTTTATCTTACTGGTGAACGTATCTACTATCTACTAGAGGTGCACATGGAATTCTTAATACTAAAATTAAAATTAGAAACGATCCAATCGCATTCCGATTACTATGCATAAACCAAATACTTTGTCCAAAACAAGTGCTAGTATCTTCTCAACATCTTGGTTGATGAGATGTAACTCGTCCTACTTTGCTCCCCAGCCAGGGTAGCATGTGTCCGTGGCTGGCTGTCGATGCCGAGCCAAATCCCAACCCAGCAAGCACACATGCTATACATAGGTGTTGAGCTGCCATGACTTGGTTTTCTTTTTAATCTGCACACGACAATAGCGTAGAGTCCAACCTAGACTACCCAAAGTGTTTTCTTCATGTACTCGATTTGACCTACGGAGAGTCCTGCATCCATTCTTAGATTAGGGAGGAGCCCCCCC